ATCATGAATATTGTCTGTGAGTTCTATGTGGCCATTGCAATGAATTACTAAACCCAGAGAGAAATAGAGGGTGCCATCAGAGGTATAGTTAGTGTCAGAATAGGGATAAAGTTTGGAGAGAGAAGGTATGTCTGACTTCTGCCTTATAGGAATCAGCTTTGGGCTGATGCTGAGGATAGTTCTTTCTCCCCCTCATGAAGTTAGAGGAGATCAGATGCCTCCTCTGCCACACCATTTTTACAGAATGCCACAATGCCAACGAACCTTCAAACAGGCTTCCAAGAGCAACATTGTTTTGGTCATCTAGTGCCGCTCTAACAGAAATACCAGAAATGGTGGACTTTAACAAACACGGATTTACTCTCTTACACTTTAGGAGGCTAGCAGTCCAAGTTCAAAGCACCAGCTCTAGGGGTTGAGTGAAGATTTCCTTGACCTTAGGCTTTAGCTCTGTCTCTTGCTCCCAGCCCACTGAAGCTGGAGACATCTCTTAACTCAGGCAGCTGCTGGCTGCTGAGGCTGACAAACCCAAAGTCAACAAACAAAATAGCACAGTCCCAAGATTACCAAAGAGCATGTCAGGCCACTAGTTCAAATCCAGAGACAGTCCCAATATCAGTGTGAAAAGTGGCAGGCTGCTGAATGAAGACTCAGCCACATGCAGGGTCCAAGAGTGCCAAAAAAGCTGCAGAGACCTTTCTCAATGCTTCTTATATATTGGAAGTTGACCACATCCCTAAGGCAGTTACTCAGCTGCTCCAGTAGATTCCATACTGGAGTTGATTACCAGTCTCATCATAGCGAAAAACTACATCACCCAGCCACTCAAAACCAGGCAAGCCAAGTCAACATATAACTACCACAAGCATGTTGTGAGATCACCATAGTTCAGGCTGGACCTGAAATTCTTTGTCTCATTCACTCAAAGGGATCAGGTTTTCAGAGTGACTCATACTAGCCAGACTCATATACTGGAAGACTAACATACAAATCAGACAACTTTTTATTGTTTTACAAAGACGACTTTTTTTTTTTTTCCCAATGACTTCAATATTCATGGACACAACCCAGGATGACTCTTCACCAGCAGAGCAAACCAGGAAAAACAGATCAAGAAAAGGAAGGTTGATAGGTGGGTACTGGGAGACTGACTATTTTAGGGGATATTTCAACCAGGCCATTATGGTAATCAGGTAATCCTAGGCCCTAATGAATGACAGAATGGCTATAATCTCAGTCTCTCTTTCTCTCTCTCTCTACATCAATATTGGTGAATTTTTGTTAGACAAAGTTTGATAAAATTGGTTGGATAGTAGTTGTCTTTAGGCCAATTATACTCCTAGTACCCACCTATCAACCTTCCTTTTCTTGATCTGTTTTTCCTGGTTTGCCCTTGATTAACTCAGCAAATCATTTGAAACATTTTGATCACTTCAAGAGAAGGCTGGTTTCACGCAATGCACTTATATTTGTTCTAATTTGGGGTGCCTGTCACTCTCATATATCAAACGATCAGAATTGAGCCTTGAGTCTCATAAGACACAGCAGAAATGCTTATACAAATCTAGATGGAAGGTTGGCTAACTACAGCCTAAGGGCCTAATTCAGCCTGTCATCTGTTGTGTAAATAAAGCTTTATTAGAACTCATCCAGGCCTATTCATTGACAGACTGTCTATGGTTGCTTTAGCACTACATCAGCCAACTTGAGTAGTAACCACAGAGTCTAAAGTACTTACTATCTGGGCCTTTACAGAAAATGTTTGCTGACCCCTGATGTAGACAATGACCTCACAATCTTCAAACCAAATAATTTATCTTATCAATGCCCATGAACATTGTTGAACTCACTTGCTTTGAGTATGTCATCCTGAGGGGTCAACTGCTAGATAAGGACATCATATTTGATGAAGTAGAGCTCCAGTGAAGGTAAGGGAGACCCTCAGTGAGATTGATTGGCACAATGGCCACAAGGATGGACTCAAAGATACTTGTGATTGTGAGCATAGCACAGGACCAGGCAACATTTTGTTCTGTTGTATACAAAGTTGCCATAAGTCAAAGTCAAACTCAATGGCAGCTAACAACAATAACACCACTAATAGCCGTAATAGTCAGCTGCGCTCTCCTCAGGTATGGAAACTCTATTCTCATGTGCACAGGTACTCTCAGGGTTCTAATCCCAAGTTTTATTGAAGAAAAAAAATCCATTTTCTTAATTAACCTGCTACAGTAGTCCACATTGCAGAGATTAACAATGAACAAAGACCCTCAGCCTGGCCTGAAAATTGACAAAGACATGGATTTCAAAAGAGAATCCATCTCTACTCTGTGTAAGTCACTCAACTCTTTGGACTTAAGTTTTTTCATCTGTAAAATGAAGTAGCCCAGCATCTATAAGAAAGCTGTTGTGAAGACAGAATTCAAGAAAATAGGAGAAATTTGTTCTAAGGTCATATGTTGTAAGGCATTTTGTAAATGGGAGTACAGTAATTCTGGAAAGCACTGCTTTTACACCAGTTTTTATCTAACAACTGATCAACACAATGCAGTCACTTGTGTGATAGAAAATAAATTTGCTATCCTCAAATTTCCTCAGTTGTAACCCAAAAGTCTCCGCACCAATCTCTCAATGCACCATTCCCCCCACTAGAGATCAGCCCTACAAATAAGAGCATAGCACGTTTATCTTCTCCTGTGCACAGAATCAACGTCTCTGTGATTTCCCAGTTTGAAGCAAAACTGACCAGTTTTTTGAAGCATATTGCTGAGTGACCAAGAAAGATCTGAGACACCCTCAAGAGCCCAAGTTTCAGTAAGAATAACAAAGGCAGCTATCTGAGCAGAGGTGACCTGTGTGCCTAGCAGACTTGGGTATCACAGTGACTGACAAATCCCTCCAGTTTGAAATTCTGAGAGTAAGTGATCAGTGGTCTCTTGCCATCATCCAAATCTCTAGAATTTATTGAAAATCAAATCATTATCTCTAGGGGGATGGTACCTGGAGAAACAATGTTAGAATCAGTGAGTGTATTGGGAGCAAGGGCACAGTGTGGGTGAGTGTGTGGGATAAGTTGGGTACCATTGCTTCCAAGTCTGATGAACCAGTTGCTGTGGAGTTGATTTCAACTCCCAGTGACCCTACATGAGTCAGAGTTCCATAGGATATTCAGTGGCTGACTTTCTGGAAATAAATAGTTAGGCCTTCTATCCAAGGTGCCTCTGGGTGGATTTGAACCTTCCACCTTTTGATTAGCAGCAAGCACATTAACTGTTACAAGTGTGATAAGTGTGCATGAAAACATGAGAAGTCAATCAGGCTTTGAATATATGTGTGTGTGTGTGGGAGACTATACAAATGTGGTTAATGCATGTTGTTGTTGTTGTTATTTGCCGTCAAGTTGGCCCCAACTCATAGCGACCCCTCCTTGGGTTTCCGAGGCAGTATCACTACGGAAGTAGGATTGCCCAACCTTCCTTCCGAGGAGTGGCTGGTGGGTTTGAACCGCCAGCCTTCTGGTTAGCAGTCAAGTGCCTTAGGCACTATGCTACCAGAGCTCCTGGTTAATGCATAGAGAGGGTATAAGCACCTGGAGCTAACAAGTGTGTAATCAAGGTGCAGTATAGGAGAGTGGGAAGGACTATAGACTCTGGAGCCCAACTGCCTGGCCCACATTTCAGAGGCACCCCTGGGCAAGTGGCAGCAAACGTCATGTTCAGAAAAGATTTATTGCCCCACCATCACCTCCACAGGGGAGCTACCCTTCTTTGCCCTGTTAGAGTTGGATTTGGCTATGTGACTTGCTTTGGCAGATAAGATATGGACAGAAGTGACCATGTGCCAGTTCTGAGCAAAGAGCTTAAGAGACATCACATGTGTTTGCTCATTCTCCTCCTCTATAAAAAGAGCTTGCCCCAGGAAGCTTGACCTTCCAGCCTGGTCTCAAATGAGATTCATAGAACAGAGTCACTCCAGTAGGCCTCCAGCCCACTGACTCCTAAAATAAGTGCTGGTTACTGTCTGCCACTAAGATTTTGCACTATATGTTAGGCAGCAAAAAAAAAAAAAAAAAAAGGCTAATACAATCAAGTGTCTTAATACCCCAATTTCTTCTCTAAGAATAATAAAGGGAAGAATAACGGTGCATGCTGCAAAGGGCTGTTAAAATAATTATATGATTTAACACTTATAAAGTACTTAAAACTTTTCCTGGCACATGAAAGAACCAAACCAGTTGCTGTGGAGTCATTCTGACTCCCAGTGGCCTCATGTATACCAGAGTGCTCCATAGAGTTTTAAGTGGCTGATTTTTCAGAAGTAAAGTGAGAGGCCTTTTTTTCTGAAGCTCACTGCGTAGACCATCAGCCTTTCGGCTAACTGACACATCCTCCACTGCCATCAAGTTAATTCCTACTCATAGAGACCCTATAGGACAAAGTAGAAGTGCTCCATTGGGTTTCCAATGCTATTAGTCTTTAAGGAAGCAGCCTGCCTTATTTTTGTCCCGCACAGCAGCTGGTAGATTCCAACCTCGGACCTTTGATTAGCAGCTGACTGCTTTAACCACAGCATCACCAGAGCTTCTGATACATAAAATCAAAAACAAAAAAAAAAAAAAAAAAAACACTGCAATTGAGTAGATTCTGACTCATAGTGACCCTCATTGGGTTTCCAGAGCAGTAGATCTTTAAGGAAGTTGATTGCCTCATCTTCCTCCCAGGGAGCAGCTGGTAGGTTTGAACCACCGATCTCCTGGTTAGCAGCGGAATGCCTTACCCACTATGCCACCAGAACTCCTTAACTGATTGATATGTAGTAAGTGCTTAACGAGTGTTAGCTATTATTGTTGTTGTGACTGTGTGTGTTGAGTGCATGAGTCAGCATTTATTGAAATGGGTAAGAGTGGGTGAGCCCATACTCAGAATTTAGAATACATGAGTGGTCATGGAACAGGGAGAGGAGCAGGTGTGGTGGGCATCGGAGTGAGTGAGGCAACGCCCTCAGCAGTAGTACTCATGGATGCGCCTGGCCCCTGAGGCTTGAGAGTCCAGACTGGACCTGGTCGATAGGAGCCTGTCGGCCTCCCCCAGGCTGTGTCGGGACAGCCCCTCAGAGCTGTCCTCGCTGTGGCGCAGCCTCTCCAGGCTGATATAGGCGCCCGAAGCCTGAGCGGAACCTCGGGAGCGACACTTGCGACAGCGCCTGCTTAGGGCTCCACAGCAGACTAGCAGTGTAAGGGGCAGCGCTACGACAGCAGCCACGCTGCCAACTACAGCGTTGATGAGCCGCTGCGTGCCTTCGGCGTCCACCACCTCGTCGGTGGAGAAGATGATGCACTGCTCCTTGCGGGGCGCTAGGCCCTGAGCACATACGCAAGCCACATACTTGGTCTGGGGCGCCAGCCCGTCAATAGTGACCCTGGTCTCGCCGGGCTGCACGGCCACCCGCAACATGTCATGTTGCCCAAAGACCGCGTAGAGGACGCTGAAGGCAGTGGTATTCCTGGCCTGGGGGGCCTTCCACGTCAAGGACACGCTGTGGTACGTGTCCCCCACCACCCTGAGGGACTGCACCATCACCGCCTGCTGGGGCTCAGCTGGCCCTTGGGTGAGCTCTCCAGGGGCCCCCATTGGAAAATGCTGGGGGGTTCGCTCCTCCTTCTTGCTGGGCCCAAAGGTCCAGGAGGGCAGGGCAGCAGGGTTGTGGGCATGGGCGATATGCCTGGCTACCAACTTGTCATTGTAAGCAGCAGCTTCTGCCCGGTCACTTGTCCTTTCCTGAAGCACACCAGGACGCCTACTCTGCTGTGTGGAAGCCTGGGCCTCAGTGACAGTCAGGGACATGAACATCTCAGAGGTGCCCAGGAAGTTCTTGGCCTGGCAGACATATTCTCCAGAATCTTGATGGGACACTGCTGGCAAGGCTAACAGAGCCCACCTTGTGCCATCTCGGGAGATCTCCTGGTGCACTGTGGGAAGAAAGAGGTTTCATGGGAGAAGGGAGGGTACCACCCCAAAATCCCTTTAAGGACTAGTCTACACCCCACACAGAATTGTCTGTCATCTTGAGAAACACTGGGAATCGTTTAACTTTTCTAAGAATAGCCAAGAGGATCAGGATTACAAATGTGGGGAGTCTCTGAAGCCCCAGGTAGGGGCAGAGCCTAGGAATGATCTACTTCCCAGGTATGATATGTTCAAACTGTGTTTTACAGAGTACTGGGCTTCACGGAGTTGACCCTTTGGAGGCAGAGGGCAGCTGTGTTGTGGATAAGGAGGGTAGAGGGCGAAATAAGGAGAGGCTCAGGGATGAGCTCCCCTACCCAGAGCCACTGCACTTCCATGATATCATTTGCAATGTTGTGTTTTATGTGGTAGATCTCTGGTACAATTTTGTTTATAAATTGATTTCAAACCCATTGCCCTAGAGCAGTGGTTCCCAACCTAGTTGCAGGAGACATAGAAGAAAGCTGGAGGAGACTAGCAGTTTTCTGGCCCAAAGCTGAAAAAGTCATTCTTTCCCATCCCTGACCCCAAGTGCAGCAGCAAGTGAACCCACTACAGAGTCAGCCAGGTCTCGTTAGGACTGTGACTCCTACATGTATGAGCTGTGTAATGTGAGCTACGCATTTCACACCTCAAATCTTCAGTTTACTCATATGCAAAATAAGAAAGATAATCAGGTTGCTAGCTAAGTTCCAAGTCCCTATACTCATCATGCACTTAGACATTAGTGCTAAAGTTCAATACATGGTAATTCATGTGGTTAATAATTCCTCCTGATAGCCAGTTACCATCAAGTCAACCTCAATTCATGGTGAACTCACATGTGTCAGAGTAGAACTGTGTTCTAGAGGGTTTCAGCAGTTGATTCAATGGCTGGGTGCTTTGGGTTAGCAGCCAAGCATGTTAACTGCACCACCCAGGGACTCCTAGTGATACTAGCTTAATATTTACAATTGCTGTTATTGTTGTTATGTGCTGTCGAGTCGGACCAGATTCATAGTGTCCCCTCCTTGGATTTCCGAGGCAGTATCACTACGGAAGTAGATTGCCCATCTTCCTTCCGAGGAGTGGCTGGTGGGTTTGAACCACCAGCCTTCTGATTAGCAGTCAAGTGCCTTAGGCATTATGCTACCAGAGCTCCCAATATTTACAATTAGGAATCCTACTATAAACATCAATACCCTAATTTCCTGCTACCAGAAAGCCAGCTTTTTGCTCCTTTCAGGGCATCACCTGCCCCTCTGATGGGACAAGATAGAACAGGATGCAAACCATAATCAACCTTAAAGCCATTGCCTTATGCCTTGCCTCCTGGCAGAGTCTGCCAACTCAGACAGATCTGCATCCAGATTATTTAGACCACCTCCCTGTCCCTGGCATACTTGACCTTGTCCCCTTGAAGTTACAGATACTGCTCCCCCATCTGACATCATAGCCCAGCAGTCCCTATACTCACACACCTGTGCCATTGAGAGGGTGCCTGTTAGCCCTCCTCCAACTCATCTCAGGCCCAGGGACCCCAGTGGCTCCACAACGTAGCACTACTGTACTGCCCACAAGGGACCTGAGGCTGGCCACACCTGGGTGGAACTCCGGGCCTTGACACCTCCTCAGTTCCAGCTGGCTGAAGGCCACCCCAGCCAAACTGTGTGGACTGGCACACCACAGCCTAGCCTCTATGAAAGCCAGGTGCGGGACCCAGCCATCTAGGAAACGGGCCAGGTCATAGAGTCGGCAGTCACACATCCAGGGGTTGTCCTGAAGTCCTGCAGGTTGGGAGAGAATACAAGCAGTGAGCCACTGAAAATTCAGACCCCTCCTTTTTGAAAGGACCAGATGAGCCCTGAGCTCAGAATCAGCAGAACTGTCCTCTAGGTCCAGCTCCTTACCTGGCTTGCTAGTGACTGGGTGTGGTTCTTCAACTCGAATGCTAGTGTTGCTTCCATTTGGGGGTTACTAGAAGCATAAATCTTAGGGATGAAGATAAATGACCATACCCTTCAGTACAGATTACACCTCAGAGTAAGGAAAGCAGAAATCCTCACAATTGGGCCAATTAGCAACATCACTACAGAGGAAATATTGAAGTTGTCAGTGATTTCATTTTACTTGGATCCACAATCAACACCCCTGGAAGCAGCAGTCAAGAAATCAAATGACGTATTTCATGGGAAAATTTGCTGCAAGGGACCTCTTTAAAGTGGTTAAAAAAAGAACAAAAGTCACTTTGAGGACTAAAGTTCACCTTACCCAAGCCATGATATTTTCAATCCCCTCATTTGCATGTGGAAGCTAAACAATGAATAAGGAAGACTGAAGAAGATTTGATGCCTTTGTATTATAGTGTTGGTGAAGAATATTGAATATACCATAGACTGCCAGAAGAATGAATGAATCTGTCTTGGAAGAAGCATAACCATAATATTCCTTAGAATCAAGGATGGCAAGACTTTATCTCACATACTTTGGACATGTCATCAGGAGGGACCAGTTACTGGAGAAGGACGTCATGCTTAGTCAGCAAAAAAGAGGAAGGCTCTCAGTGAGATGGATTGACACAGTGTCTGTAATAAGGGGCTCAAACATAGCAACAATTGTGAGGATGGTGCAGGACCAGGCAATGTTTCATTCTGTTGTATATAGGGTTGCTATGAGTGAGAACCAACTTGATGGCATCTAACAATTACAACATAAGCATGAAAGCCATTGCTGTTGAGTCAATTCCAACTCATAGTGACCCTGTAGGACAGGGTAGAACTGCCGTAAGATTCCCAAGGCTATAATATTTATGGAAGCAGACTGCCACATCTTTCTGCAGAGCACCTTGTTGGTTCAAACCACCAACCTTTCAGTTAGAAGCTGACTGATAAGCCACTGTACCACAAGGGCTCCAGGAGATAAATCATACCTATTCATGGCTTAAGGACTTCTGGTATTGCAGTGCTTAAGCACTCAGCTGCTAACCAAAAGGCTGGTAGCTTGAATCCACAGGAGAAAGATGTGGTAGTCTGCTTCTGTTAAGATGTATAGCCTTGGGAACCCCATGGGGCAGTTCTACTCTGTCCTACAGAGTCACAATGAATCAGAATCAACTCAGCTGCAGCTGTTTATTGTTTGTTTGTTTTAAAATAAGCATAAAGGTAATACATATTGAAGTACCAGGTAAACATACACATACCTACAAGATCACCAATTACTGCTGCCTTCCTTAGAATGACCCTTCCAGATCACTGGCCCAGCTGTGAGGATTTCTGCAATCACTGCAACACCAAAACCCAGTTCTAAAAATGCTTCACTGTTCCCGGCCGCTGTCAGCATCACTCCAGTAGTAGAGTGGCTGCTTGAAGCCCTGGTCCCTTTGACACAGGCACAAATGGGGTAAGAGAAGGAACTAGAAGGCCAGAAAATCAAATTTTTGGCATAAAAATGAATATCACCATTGAGTGAAAGCAGGGCACTGCTCTTACCTTGTCAAAGAGCCTTGTACAGACAAAAGGGAACAATGTATCTTCCATTCTAAGACACAATTCCTTGGTCTATGTTTGCATAGACCATTTCCAATGTAAAATCAACACAAACACCCTTCACATGATGTCCTCCCCCCCCCCACAAAAAAAAGCTGTTAGTTTTAAATTATTAGTGCGTCTAGTGATCAATGGCATCTTACACACTTGCATACATATATTTGACATATTTGGAACAGAAATGTCAGAGGGCTGGGGAGAGATCTAATGGCACAGCTATGAATCTCAGTTCCTTTGGAGCAATAGCTGAGAGAGAAGGTGCTGTTTTATTCTCCTACCCCCACTCCCTACTGTCCCCCCAGTGGCAGCTGCCCTATATCCCTTGGTTAAAAGCACCTAACAATTCATTTGCAATCCAAGATTCATCACTGCCAAGCTCTGGTGGTTAGGTACCTGATCTTCATCTCCTCACAAAAAGATCCTGAAAGAATGAATCCAAAAGACAAAATTAAATGACAGAAATGTTCATCTACCACACTGGCAAAAGTTAAGCATTTTGGCAATTTTGTCAGCTCTGTGAGAGTAGATTTCCATCCATTTTTCTCACTGCTGTATCGCAGCTCCCACAGCAGGGCCCACACACTGACAGGCAATCATGGATGATGGTCTCACCCACTACTGGTGGGAGTGAGAAATGGCACAGCCAGTTTTGAGAATATAGGATTGGTATTTAAATGTTTACTGTGCGTACTGCATGAGCCAGCATTTCTATCTCTCAGCACTGATCCTAGAGAAATATATGCCAATGTTCTCTGTGGTATCATAGATGTTAGTGATATAATGGAAACAGCCTAAATGTTCATTAAAGAGGAAAAGGCTAAATAAACTACAGTATAAATATACTGTAGAATATTGCACAGTGGTTATAAAAAGTAAAGTTGATCCATTTATAGTAATTTAGAAAGATCTCCAAGATATATTTACTGCTGGTTGATGATTTTTTAAAAAATCTATTTAAACACATACACATGTATTTTCTGTCATATATATATATATATATATATATATATATATGTAAGCTCTGGTAGCATAGTGCCTAAGGCATTTGACTGCTAACCAGAACGCTGGCAGTTCAAACCCTCCAGCTACTCCTTGGAAGGAAGATTGGGCAATCTACTTCTGTAGTGATTGTTGTTGTTGTTGTTAAGTGCTGTCGAGTCATTTCTGACTCATAGCGACCCCATGCACAGCAGAAAAAAACACTGCCCGATCCAGTGCCAGCCCCACAATTCCATAGTGATACCACCTTGGAAACCCAAGGAGGGGTCGCTATGAGTCAGATCTGACTCGACGGCAGTGAGTTTGGTTTGGTTTAGTTTATATATGTATGTGTAAGTAAATGTATAGTAAAATATAGGGAGGACATGCAAATAAACATGGTAATAGTGGCTACTTTTTGGGAGAGGGAGAAGGGGTTAGAAAGGAAGAAGAGAAAAGGGAACTTTAGCCTTTCTTGTAATATTTTAAATGCTCACATATATGAGTTGGGTAATTAAAATTGATTTTCCACAATGAGTTATGCCCTCATCTGCCACCCTCAGGATCAGTTAAGTGTTTTTAGCAGGAAAGGAGATCTGGTTTACCTGGTAAGCAACTGATAAGCATTAGGAAGGTGGTTGGACAGGGATGAAGCTGGATGAGGCTTAAGGCCTCACCTTGCTCTTCCTTGCCCTGCTTCCAGAAGTAAACTTTCCAAATGTTCCCTCTTCCAGAAAGTCTCTGTGGCCTCAAGGATAGGGTTACTCAGAATCCTTAGGATTTCCCTCAACATGGACTCTGCCCTCAGTACTGGAGATAGTATGAGTCAAGGCATGCTTCAGACATACCCTACAAAGAGGTCCTTTCCTCTGAAACTCCCACTGCCCCACCTGGTTTCCATGCCCTCCTTAATGGACAGTGGAGGGAGCACCACCTGTATGACCAGATACATAGGCCCAAACCCACCACTAATCCCTCTAGGCTCTGTTTGTTCATCTGTACAACAAAGGAAGTTGTATTTGCACTGTCTACCCAATGGGATGGTGTTAACTCAAAGACCTTGACTATGAGGGGCAAGAGGGATCTCAGTGAACCCTAGTGCCACATTAATGCAGACAGTCAGGAAAGACTGAGCAATTGACAAAGGGCACAGTTACTTTCTGTATACAGAGTTCTCAGAGGATCCTCCCAAAGAGGGACATTGACATATTTTGGGTACTGTTGAAGTTTGGGCTCCCCAGAAGCTGACTTAGATGAAGATTAGCATGCTCTGGGTTTGTTAAGGGAAGGAAGGTCCATGGTACCTATACCTGTGTTAGGGAAAGGAAATAAGGGAAGGAAGGGAGAAGTGAAACTGTGATAGGGACCTGGCCACAGCCTTAGCTTACCTGTGGGGGGTTCTAGAACTGAAAGAGCCTATCAGAGTTGTCCCAAGTGACTGGGCCTTTAGACTCCCACACTGAAAGCTCAATGGAGCTGCCTCCAGGAAGTGTGTGCTCTTGGGCAGGCAAGGTGGCTCTGTAGCTGAGACATTCCTTGACTCCTGCATGAGGGCTAACAGCTGAAGGACTGACAGGACTCTGATTTAACAAGCATCACAGCACATCTCTGTCACCATCTACCTCTTGTGTGCTTGGCACAGCCTTTTTACCCATCACACCAACATTTTGTTATAATTATCCTCCCTTTATGGAAGCTGAGTGACTTGCTAAGGACACACAGCTAAAAAAGGCAGAACTGGGATTTGAACTCCAGCTATATGACTTGGAGCTTGAGTTCCTAAACCTGCCACTCTGTGTCTCTCACTCAGTCTTCAATTACACCTAGAAAAAAAGAAAAACCAAACCAATTTCCATCAAGTCAATTCTGACTCATGGTGACCCATGTATATCAGAGTAGAAGTGCTCCATTGGGTTTTCAGTGGCTGATTTCTCAGAATTAGATTGCCGGGCTTTTCTTTTGAGGAAACACTGGGCAGACTTAAACCTCCATCCTTTTGGTTAGCAGCCAAGAGCATTAACCATTTGCACCACCCACGACTGGTATTGTTTCCACTTTCCAGCTAAAGAACCATGACTCAGAAAGACTGGACACCTTATCCAAAACTCCAGGACTCACCAAGGTTATTCCTGGGGAAGGATAGAAGAGGCCAGTGCTGTCTCTTACCTAGGACCAGCCTGGCCCGTTGGCCATGCAGGAAGGGCCCTGTATGCAGGTGGGCCCATGTGGCCAGTAGCTCCTGTGGAAGCCTCATCAGTTGGTTGCTGGAGAGGTCCAGGAAGGTAAGGTTCCCCAGGAAGCGTGCAGCCTCCATCGGCACAGCAGAGAGGCGATTAGCCTGCAGATCCAGAAGCCGCAGCTGAGGGGTGTCCCTGAGGGCCACCCAGGGAAAAGCAGCCAGGCGGTTCCCAGGCAGCCGCAGCTCATGCAGACGCTGCAGGCCTCGCAGCATGAGGGTGCTGAGGTTATTGAGGGCATTGTAGGGCAGCCACAACTGTTCCAGGTGGCCCAGCAGACTGAAGGCCTCTGCAGGCACCCTGCGTATGGCCGTCCGCTCCAGGCGCAGTCGGCAGGTGTCTGGAGGGATGGAGGCTGGGAGAAGTGTGATGTCAGGGTCATCGCACACCACCGTCCTAGTAATACACATGGAGGACAGTTTAGCAAAGGTCTTGTTGGGTTGAAGTTTCCCTCATATCCCATGAAGAGGCCTCCAGTATGCCAGATCCCAGGGGCCCTGAAGAGGCCCCTGGACAGCAGCTGCACATTCAAAACCTGTCATAGAATCCCAGAGACCCATTTGGGTTCAGTTTGCTGGACTGAAGAACTGCAAGCTTGAAGGCTGATGTCCTGCCCTGGACTCACTCCACCTGTCCTGCCCTGAAAGTGGACAGTGAGTAAATCCTAAGCTGGTTTTGAGAATGGTTGTGTGGCATATATGTCCTACAAGTACTAAGTTGTTAGATCATTCCTCACTTCTTGTAACCATGTTGACTTTTCTTTATTTAAAAATTATATATATTTGGCTTCCAGCCAAACAAAAGTCAGGCATATGAGTTGAATATTTATCCGAGGTAGATACACTCCTTATAGACAACAATCATGGGAGAAAGAAGGGCTGTTTGTGCACAGGGATACAACTCAGGGGCCAGGAGTTCATGGAGAGATGGACATAGGGAAGATGTAACTATCAGGAGGAAGTGTGAGGGGAGCTATTGCATTGTGGTAAATTGTAGTCAATGTCATGAGACAAAGTGTATGTGAACTGCTGTATGGAAAGTGAATTTGCTCATAAACATTCACCCAAATCACTATATATATACAGGAGCTCTGGTAGCATAGTGCCTAAGGCACTTGACTGCTAACCAGAAGGCTGGTGGTTCAAACCCATCAGTCACTTCTCGGAAGGAAGATGAGGCAATCTATTTACGTAGTGATACTGCCCCAGAAACCCAAGGAGGGGTCTCTATGAGTCGAGTCTGACTCAACGGCACATAACAACAACAATAACATGTATATAGACATCTAAAGTGAAAGGTCTCGAGCCACTCTGAACCCTGAGGGATCATTGATAATCAGGTATTTCAGAGCTAGGACTTTGCACTCCACTGCTTAGACTCACTTCTGGGGTTCTTGGCTTACTGGCTGTATAACCTCTCTGTCCCTCAGTTTTCCCATAAAGATAGACACCACTACACAAGGCAGGCATGGAATTAAGTGAGGTAATGTATGCACAAGCTCAGCACAGTGCTGTTCACCCTATAGCAGCCCAGTGATACAGACCATTCTTGTGACTTCTACACCCCAGGGCTGCACCTAGATGGGGTTAATCTTAGCAATCACTCCTTCTGCCTCAACAGGGACTTCTTAGACTTTGTTCTGTCAAATTTAACACTAAAAGCTGAGGATAGATAAACAAGCAGCAGTCCCTGCCATCAATGAGCATACAGTTTAGGGCAGTGTTTTACATGTGATCGCTGATCACAGTTCACTAGCATAAAGTAAGACCAACAGGAAAAATTTCCAAGAGGAAGGCAAAGCCTGGAGGCTGGGCATCAGGGGACCAGCCCTTTCCCAACCCTAGTTCCATCTGGAGTGTTTCTCTGCTCACACTGCAGGGGTGTGTGTGTGTGTGTGTGTGTAGTGTTTTGCTTTGATAAGGAGGTTGCTCTTTTGTAATATCATTACCTATTGCAGGGAGCTCTGGTAGCATAGTGGCTAAGACACTTGCCTGCTAACCAGACGGCTGGCGGTTCAAACCCACCAACCACTCCTCGGAAGGAAGGTTGGGCAATCCTACTTCTGTAGTGATACTGCCTCGGAAACCCAAGGAGGGGTAGCTATGAGTTGGGTTTGACTTGATGGCACATAACAACAACAACAACAACATTGCAAATAACAGCCTTCTTGTGTAACACACACACCACCAGCATCCATTAGCTTAACCTGCATGATAGGTTTGATTTTCCTATAAACTGTGCCCACAGAAAGGTGCAGATATTCCCACTTGTTCATATGTTCCTCACACATTCATGGAACCCCTCTCAAGTGATGGGAGTTGCAGCCATTCAGAGAAGTATCACACTCAGCCCCTCTCCCCACATGGTGTGTAATCTAGGTAAGGAAGAAAGAGCAATTAAGGCACCCATATTTTTAGGTGTTAATACAGTTTGGGGTACTGCAAGGAGGAAAGTCCAGTTGTAAGTGAAGGAAGAGAGTTGATGGGATTGGGGAGAAAAGGATCAAGGCAGGAATCAAAGGAAACTAACAAGAGATCAATACAAGCCAATAGCACAACTCCCAGGAGGCAAATCGTGCATGAGGAGCATAGACTATGACTGTCTTTGGGCCCAGACTGAGCTCTGCCAGGCAACCCAGTGCCCACAGATGTCACACTCTGTTCACTACATATGAACATGGAGACAGAGCAGCTGTCCAGGCTGCTCAGACGTAAGAGCTGTCCAGGCTGCTCAGACATAAGAGCAGAGCTCTCTGGGGGCCCTGGTTATAGACCAACTGCATGAAAGCCTCGAGTATATTGCACAATCTGTACTTTTGGGATTTAGAGGGCTCTTTCAGGGCTCTTACAGCCTACGGTGTAGTAAATTACATGGTGTGGCTTTTCTAGCCATAGTTTTCCTAACTCCCACCAGATTACTGGGTGGGACCATGCAATTTAAACTCCTGATTGTTAAAGTCATCCACCTGGAGTATTTCTGTTGGAGCAGCATAAAGTTATCTTCTGGGAAAGTTTGCTCTCTCTCCCAGGTGTGTGGAATACTGATGTTGGGATTGGCTGCTTTTGCCATTCTGCCAGGCTCAAAATGAGCCCTCCCAGAGGCAGAAGAGGGGAGCAGCTGCCACTGCTGCCATGACCACTGCCCCGCTGTGCAGCTGGGCTGTGTGAGTGCACAACTGGGTTGACCAGCAAACGACTGTCTCCTGCATGTGCCCCCCCCCGCACCTATTTTTGGGAGCTCTGGTAGTGTCATGCCTAAGGCATTTGACTGCTAACCAGAAGACTGGTGGTCCAAATCCACCAGCCACTCCTCGGAAGGAAGGTTGGGCAATCTACTTCCATAGTGATACAGACTCAGAAACCCAAGCAGTGGTCACTATGAGTTGAATCTGACTCGATGGCAGTGGGTTTGGTTTTGGTTTGGTTTTAGAGGCAGAAGAATCCCTCTGACTGCCAGCTGAGAGAGACATGCTGCTGAGAGAGAGAGAGAGAGAGAGAGAGAGATGCATGGCTGAGAGAGACACACAGCTGAGAGACGGCAGCATTGGAACCAGGAGGCACAAGACAGAGCAGCAGGCTTACCTGACCCACAGAGGCAGAGGCCATGCCTAGAGGTCAAGGGCCAGAGAAGCATGTCAAAGGGCACAGCAAAAGGGAGACTATGGAATTATTCTGTGGAACTGTGTCCTGAGCTTGTCCTTGAACTTGAATTGTAGCCTATTGCTTCCCTAATTAACCCCATAATCTGTGAGTTCTGTGTGGCCACTGCAGTGAATTATTGAACCCAGCAGAGAGGTGGTAGATGCTGCGAGCAGGATGGTTGATGTCAAGGTTGGTAAGAGGGCTGGAGGGTGATGGCATATCTAGCCTACCTCATAGGAACAGGCCTTGTGCTGCTGATGGTGATTCTGTCTTCCTCTTGTGTAGTTATAAGTAAAAAGATGCCACCTTCTAGCCCCTTTAGCACAGCCTTTAACAGCCTCACTCCTTCACAAGACATACCGTGCAGAAGGTCTGGTGCACATTAGCCAAGGGATTCTCAGGCAGGTAGATGGTTGAAAAAGCTTTGAGGGGATAATGGCTACTGCCTAAAATTAGGGACCCTGGAAACTGCCCTGGAATGTCATTTTCCATCCTAAGGTGAACTCTGCTACCTGGAGCCCTTCTCAGTTTCTCCTGTGAAGAGTTCTGGAGATGGAGTTAGAAGCCCTGGTTTCCAGGACAAATTCTGCCACTGAGGCCATGTCACTTTGAGCCCTTTGCTCTTGGGGCAGGGTGTGTGTGGGTCTGCATCACCTGGATCATACTGTCCATGGCATAGGGGCTATTTCATGGTTGGCTCAGGGCTCAGCCTTGACCTCCCTTAGGGAGAAGGTTCTTATTCTCCATATGAGTTGGAGCTTTAGGGATTTAGGCCAAAAATGGAGTTCTTTCTGTTCTTCAGGCCATACAGGATGTCCTTTCTTGGTGAAGGTCTCTCCAGCCTATGTTTCCCTTTACCCCCATTCATTGTAAGATCATTTAAAAGGGGCCTGTGATAATATTACTCCCTGATCATACACTACTAGAGACTCCCGCACACCTGTCTAAGAGAGGAGCAAGGGAGAATGGCATGAAAGAAGGTTGGAAAGATAAAGAAAGGTCATAAGCCAGGGCTGACATCTTGAGCTAGGTAGGAAATACTTGGTCATTAACAGGTAGGTTGAAGAAGGTGAAAATGATGATGTAAAAACTACTGAAGGGAAGAATAGAATGAGAAAAAGAATAAGAAGGTGGAACATGGAGTGTCCACAACCAGAAGGCCCACTGGGAATGTCTGAATGGAAGGCCAGAAAGGGTAGAGTACTCTCAAGGGCTAATATGGGGGCAAGGGGAGTCAAGGAAGGGTAGAGGATGAAGAGAATCTGGCCTTCAAGTGAACACTCTTGAGGCTGCTGGTCCTGGGCCCATGGCCTAGATGGGGAGGTCACACAGAAGCCAATGACACCTACATGGCATTGTAGAAGGAAACATCAGGGATAGGATTGGGTGCTGGGGAGGTTGGGGAGAGATACAGACAAGATGATGGAGTGAAAGAAGCAAGGCAAAGAAGGGAAAGAGGTAAGAGAGGAACTTTTCCTGCTTATTTCCTGTTCCACTCCACCAGGAGCCTGGATGAGGGCTCAGGAAGGATTTCTGGAGCTTGAAATCCCATGCCCCAACTCCCATGTATAAAAGTTCCTCCTGGGAAGAGCCCAAGACTCAGCTTGTTGAAGATAATGCCATGCAGACCACTCCCAGAGGACCCTACACCTCAAGGGTGGAGAAATGGGGGTCTCACTCAGCCCTGGTTTGAGAATCTGCAATCCACCTGTCCCCACCCAGCCCTGCTGGCAAAGCTAATGGGGCCGGACCACCTTCTCTGCTCCCAGTGCCATACCTGGCCCTGCTGCCATCACTCAGCATATGGAAGCTGCAGCTGCACTGTGAGGGGCAGGAGCACCGAGCCTGAGGGAGTCCTCCGAGGGCCAGCAACCAGAGCATTCCCACTGACACCTTCATGGCTTCCGGCTCCCCTCCAGCCAAGACAGAGCCTGTCTCTGACTGCTCAGTCTTGCCAGCCTTGCAAGCCCAGCTGCTCACTTGCTCCTGGGGCCCTACCCGAAGTTATCGGATAAATACAGACAGGCTGGGGATTAGGAGAGGAGTCCTGGCCACAGCAGTTAATGGCTTACTGCTCCCCAGAATCACCCAGTCCTGAGTGTGGGGGTAGGGAATCACTTCCATAGCATCAGGCCTAGGCTCAGAGAGCTCAGGTGTTTAGGGTTCTTGGGGCAGGGAGGGTGGGCAGCCTCCAGAGGCAAGCAGCTATTGGACTGGCCTCCTTTCTGCAACGCTACCCAAACCAGCCAGGCTATTGGCAGCACAGACTCAACCAGGTGTCCAGGTTTTGGGGAAAATGGAGACAGAGCTTGGCCTCTCAAGGGACTTTGGAAATTCTTTTCCAGGGGCAATATCAAATAGTGACAAAGAGAACGGAGATGTAGCAAGTCTTTCTGAAGGCAGCGAAAGCATTAGGAAGACCCCAAGCTCTGAGGCTACATGGATTCAACTCTCAGCTCCTCCACTTATAGGCCATGACCTTGGGCGAGTCACATAATTTCTCTTTGTCTCCTGTGTCTTCATCTTTAAATGAGAAGTAAGTTTACTCACCCAGGGTGCCTATGAACATTAAGTAAACCAGATTTGCCCAGATCTTCACAGCCAATAGGAAGAAAATCTGTTTCATTAATAATGTTGCTATTGTTGTTAATTGCCATCGAGTCACTTCCAATTCATGAAGACCCCTCGCTTTGCATCATCTTCACGATCATTGGTGTGTCCTCCTCCAGTGATTAGTCCTTCCCAATAATTCATCCAAAGTAAGATTCAAAGTTGTGTACAATATTATGTGACCCATAGGATTTTCATTGGGTAATTATCAGAAGTAGATCACCAGGCCTTTCTTTATAGTCTGGAAGCTCTGTTGAAATCTGTCCACCATGCGTAATCTTGTTGGTGTTTGAAATACCAGTGGCATAACTTCCAGCTCATAACAACACAAAAGCCATCAAAGTATGACAAACTGACAGATAGGCCATTAATAATAAGTACCCAAATTTTGCTTGCACTTGCAGACAACTGCTCATGGAGGAGTTAGAAAGATTCAGATAGTTCCAGGGAGCCCCAGAGGTGTCCCCTATAGGTTCATGAACTATTCCAGTCTGCTGTCAATTAGCTGCTTCCCCTGAGTACCTTGGGAACACCCAGAGTCACAACACGGCCACTTCAGCTTTTGGGAATTACCACCAATGCCAAAGGCATGTGGTGTCTCAGTGTGATGTCAGAGAATGCCCCTCTTCTGGACATATCGTATACCAAGGAGGGTCCCAGAGCGGTGTCTCACAGCCTTGTTAGAAAAATCACTTCCATTTTTCATGTATTTCTCCCATTCCCAACCTCATTCACCACACTCACCGAGGACATCAGTCAGGGACTAAGCCAGGGATGATTTCAAGTAACAGACACCACCGTTCACTCAGATTCCTTCATCCAATTTAATGCTGTGGCTTTGCTTTCTGGTCCAGCATGCCCATAAGAGTAGTGTAGACTGGGTGCTAAACCTAATTGTTTCTGAGTTATAAGAAAAAACAGAATCAACACAGACACAGCTACACACATGAGGGAAGACAGACGCCATATGAGAATTGTCTACAAGCCAAGGAACCAAAGAATGTCCAGGGCTACCAACAAGAAAGCATATGGGTGGACCCCTTGCAAGAGGAAAGACATGCGAAATGGACAAATATTCACAGAATAGAATGAGTTGCTTGACCAGAGGAAGTCAGAAGATGCTAATGAAAGGTGTCAGTGCCCTAGGACAGGAGGTTGGGCTTTTGTCCCAGCTCTGTCCATGAATTACTATGTCACCTCAGGCCAATTCTTAACTACTTTGAGCCTCAGTTTCTTCATCTAAAATGGAAAGAATGATGGTATTTAATTCATAGAGTCACTGTAGGATTCATCATGTGGTCATGTAGCACAGTGCCTGGCCTATACTGAGCACTCAATAAACATCAACTATATTCTGAATACCTCTCTGGGGCTTGATTTCTTTCAAGGAAAATGAGTTAATAAAATTATGAAAAAAAAAAAAAAAGACTAGACTTGCTGGTCTGATAGAGCCTGTTGAAACCCCTGAGACTATGGCCCCTAGCTCCCCTTCAGGTCTGGAATCGAACTCCTGTGGCTTCCATCCAAATAAAAGACTGGCACATGGGCTGAACATTTACTTCAGGTAGATATAGTCCTTGGAGAGATCAATCATGGGAGAACAGAAGGGCAGTGTATGCACATGGAGACGGCTCTGGGGGCAGGAGTGCATAGGAGGGAAGGACATAGAGAAGAGGTAACTATGGGGAGGAAGTGGGAAGAGAGCTGTTATATTTTGGGGAATTGCAGTCAATGTCATAAGCTGAAATGTATATGAACTGCTGTATGGAAAATGAAATAGCTCTGTAAACTTTCACCCAAATTACAATAAAAATTTTTTAAAAAAGTAAATGAGTTAAATTGTTCTAGATTACTGGTTCCTGATATATTATTTACCATAAGCCAGTGCATGACTTACAGCAGACTTCTATAGAAGTCAAGCTCTTAGAGGATCTTAGGGTCACTTACAAGAAGATAGTAGTCACTGCCTTTTGCATGTGTGTGTGTGTGTGTGTGTGTGTGTGGTGGGTGAGGGGGAAGTTTATGCTGATGTAGCCCAAGCACTCTGTGGGAAACAGGAAGTGCAGCCCTGAACCTATAACCATGGTAAAAAAAAAAACAAAAAAAACTCACTGTTGTGGAGTCAAACCCAACTCATTGGGTTTCCGAGGCAGTATCACTATGGAAGTAGATTGCCCAACCTTCCTTCTGAGGAGAGGCTGGGAGGTTTGAACCACCACAGCCTTCTGATTAGCAGTCAAGTGCCTTAGGCACTACACCACCAGAGCTCCCAAGATTTACACAGGCAATGAAAAAAAATAACTCTCCTATGTTGCCAAGGAAGAAACCAAGCAGAGTCCAAACATCTTACCCCAGTTACTAGTTAGCTAATTAACGGCCAACTCTGAATCAGAACCTGGGTCTCTAGTCTCAGTTGGGGTTCTTTCCATGACTACAGGTGACTTCCCAACCTTCAAGCTTTCACCAATGCTTATGATCACATGTGATCATAAGCATATATCACATACAGAGGTACACATGCCACATGCACAGAAGCACACAGATATTCACGTGCTCACACATGAATACATACCACATATACACACACATATACACTCATGCATGTACACACCACACACACATGCGTGCACATGAATACACACCCATGTGCACACACACTAGATCTCAACTTGTCAGCACCTACAAAAGGAAAGACCTGGCTCCTAACCAACTCTCAGTAACAGCTGCAGCTCAAATCCCTCCTATCACTCCCTCCCTTGGTAGTTATGCAACTCTTTCCAATTCAGCTCTTTGGATTCCTGCTCTTTAATCCAGCCTGGTGAGGCTGAAATGAATGAGACAGGATCCATCCAACTTCACAAAGGCCATACTGTACAACTGGTGAATGCATTCATTTTGCTTGATCCAAAATGATGACTTAGAAGGGGAGGTAGCAAGAGTAGCCTAAGGATCAGCATAAGAACGATGCTGGCATATGAAGTGGCCCTTTAAAAGGGAAGCCTTACTTGAGGAGCCAGAGAAGAGCCAACCAGCAGGGAGGATGCCGAGGATGCCAGAGCCCAGGACACTGTCTGCCTGCTTCGGGGAACTTGAAGTACTGATTGTGGGCACTGTGCTGCTGGTAGAAGGTGAGCCAGGCCAGACATGTGGGGACAGGCACCAGTGGTTCCCAGAACCAAGGCAGCACCTGTGATCTGGCAAGGATACCCCCAAACCAGTCAGGGTGTTGTGCCTTCTCGCCCCTGTTCTTGATGCAGAACGATGGGCCACAGACTGCCACACCTATGGCATGCATCAGGAGACCGGGGCCCACGGAGAGGAGCCTTGCAGGGGTGAGGGAGAAAGAGACTTTAAGAGTGGATAGCTTCCAGGAGATGACCAAGAACCCAGGCATTAGAACTTTCTGTGTCCCTCCAACTGGGACAAAGTTTAGTCTACTTCCAGGAGGTCCTGCTGAGAATCTTGTATAAGCCCAGGCCCCTGAAAAGCTATAGAGACAGGTCTACTGTCTTTGTGCCCATGACCAAATTCCCTCAACTCTGTGATCCCAGTGCCCTGACATTCAGTGAGTGGTCATGAGGGTCTAATATGATCATAAACATAAAGTGCTTGCCTGAGAAGACACACAGGAATCTAAGTTTATCTACTCTGTCTTCTCCAGCTCTGCCTTACCATCACCCTCTCCATTTCCTCTTCCCTGAACATGTCCACTCATAGGCTACATGGGCCAGGATGTGCCTGCTTCCATCTAGGACTTATTCCTAAGAGGCTCACTGAGGCCAGAGCCAAGACAGCATAGAAGCTGTGGCTAGACAGCCAAAGACTGTGTTGATGGGGACCAGCCCTTGTTCAAAGCAGCTACAGAGAACTAATATTCACATTTTTCTCACCTGATGAGAACCATGGTGGAGAGAGAATGGCAGCCACTGAGTCTATCCTGGTGGTCCTTCCTCCAAGAAACTTGTTATCTAACCTCCCTCCACTCTCCAAACATGCCTTTTGACTTTTGACTACTGCATATCTTTGCACATGTTATTCCCTTTTTCTGGAATGTTCCTTCACACTTAGTCCTGGTAAATGCTCACAGTCTTCATTTTAGCCAGGGAAGCTAAGGTACAGAGAGTTTGGGGAACAGGAAGTGAATGATCAAGTCAAAATTCAAGGTCAGGTCAATCTACTCTGGAGAACAACACCTTAGAAGTACACCTTGTACCTTCCATCCTTGGAGCTCCAAGCTAAAATACTGCCACCCCAAGACCCTCCCTGACTCTGTCCCCTAGCCATAGTAAGAAATAAAAAAACAGACTTTTTGAACTTTGAGAGAGTTGAGTTCAACAAGCTCTACCATTTACTAGGTGTTTATCCAGGTCTAATTTTCTCTGAGCCTCAGACTCTGATTGTAAATGGGGAAGACATTATCTTAGGCAAGAGATGGTGAGATGATTTGTGTAAACTGCTCATCAAATGTCATACTTGTTATTGTCACAGCTTAGACCACACCACACTACACTGATTGTATCCTTGACTGTCTCCCATTAGACTGAGAATATAAAGTTCAGGGCCTGTGCCTATGGTGTCTGTGTCTAAAGGCCAGCTCACCTGGGTAGGTGTGGAAGAACTGTGCTGAGAGGGTTGCTGGGAATGGAAGGAAGGTAGCTGAGGCTCCATTCACCCCAAGAACCCTGGGTCTGACCCCAGTGGTTATGAGGGTCTAATATGATCTTAGACATAAAGTGCTTGCCTGAGTAGACACACAGGAATCTAAGTTTATCTACTCTGTCTTCTCCAGCCCTGCCTTACCATCACCATCTCCATTTCCTAAGCCATGATTCCATCTCCTACCCTTCCTTTCAGCACTCTCTGGGCTCAGCCTCAATGGCCTGACCATCCTCTCTTTCTACAAGTTCCCAGAGCTGAGGACTCCCAGTCACCTGCTGGTGTTGAGTTTGGCCCTGGCAGACAGTGGGATCAGCCTGAATGCCCTTGTTGCAGCCGTGTCCAGCCTCTGCCGGTACTGCCACTTTCTCTTGTCCACTCCCTGCCCCCCACTCCATGGGCTTGTGGGTCCAGCCTGGGGCTGATCTCTTGTGAAAACAGCAACACTGGGGCAGTGAGGCTTCATATTTGTGAAAAGCTTGCCTGGGGGTACAGGGTGGGCAGGCTGGACTAAGCTACACTTGAATTCCAGACTCCCCCTAAAGGATGGTGGCTGGTTTCTAGAGTCCAGAAGCTGCTCAAACTTGGTCAATCCCTACACTACTGTAGGGATGGAGAACATGGACCATCTCATAACCATCATGCTAAGTCCCCAAACTACCTGGGTTTGGTGCCTGGCTCCACCGTTTCTAGTTCTAAGTCTCCTCAGTAAATTGCATGTCATCATCCAATTTAGATTGGATGTGCTGACTTGTTATTTGTAGTTGTTGGAAGTGCTGGAAGTGCTGACTTGTTATTTGTAAGTAATTTAAAACAATGCTCAGCACATGTTGTTGTTGTTGTGTGCCATTCAGTCAATTCTGACTCATCGTCATCCTACAGGACAGAAAAGAACGGCCCATAGGATTTGCTAGGCTGTGATCTTTATGGGAGCAGATTGCCAGGTTTTTTCTCCTGAGTAGTGGCTGATGGCTTCAAACAGCCACCTTTGGGTTAGCGACTGAGCATTTAACTATTGTACCACCAGGGCTCCTTGCTCAGCACATATTGAGCCCTAAATAAGGGTTTGTGAAAACAAATAAGATTTTAGCAAGTATCAAGGCCTCCTTTATGCAAGCCAAGGTCTCCCAAAGTGGCTGCAGAAGGTACTCACAGATTTGTTTTCTAAATCAGACTAAACATTCCATTGGGGGTTTTGGGTATTAAACTTTTAATCTCTAACCCATCTGGGAGCCAGTAGGAATAAATTGGGGAGTTTCCTTCTCCATCATGCCCTGGTCTTCTCCTCCCCTCTACACTCTGCCTAGGGAGGGCAACTGTAACTTCCACTTTGGTCACCCCATAGAGCTGAGAGTTGGGAGGCCTGAAGTCTATCCCTTGAGTTTAAGTTCATTTGCTATGTGAGGCTGTCCAAATCTCAGTTTTCCCATGTGTAAAATATAGACATGGCCTCCAAGGCCCCCTCCCCACTAAGGGGCTTTACTTCCTGTGATAGCAGCATCTGACCACACAGGCAGACCCCTTGGGTAAAAGACAGACTCTTAGCTAGGAGGTTTGGGCTCTAACCCTATCACTTCAGTCCAGAGACATAAGCATGTCAGTCCCAGTGTCCTCATAGGGAAAGCACTACAGCCCTCCTCCAAGGGGCTAGTCCTGCCCTCCAAGTTGATATTGGGAGGTGTGGGAGGAGATCAAGAAGAAAGGGAGGAGTTACCAATGCCAAGTGTTCCTACAGGTGCTGGCCCTATGGATCAGATGGCTGCCAGGCACACGGCTTCCAGGGCTTCTTGATGGCTCTGGCCAGCATTTGCAGCTGTGCAGCCATTGCTTGGGAGCGCTACCACCATTACTGCACCCGTACGTTTTTGGGCTCCCAGATCGGAGCATCCCAAGCAGATTGGGGAGGGAGGCAGGGAGGTGTGGTCAGGATGAAGTCTTGCTCCATGTTTTGTGGTACAGGAGAGTGTCAGTGGATGTGCGGGTGCATGGCTATAACATTCATTTGAGGAAAGGAGGGAAGTGGGAGAGTGCAAAGAAGAGTAGAGGCCCATGGAAAGGCTCGCTATGCCATCGCTGAAACCCCAGGCAGATCAGGGATCTTCTCTGAACCTTAGTCTCCTTCTCTGCAAGGTACTTCTTATAACCAACCTCACAGTTTTATTTTATGAGATCATGCATGCATATAAATGCCCATATAATGCGGGGGGACAGGGAGGCAGCGAGTGTGTGTGTGTGTGTGTGTGTGCATGTGTGTGTATACCTGGGACCTCACACTTTATGGGGCCTTTGCTACTTCAAGGCTCCATGGAGGCTAGTGCAACTCTAGGTTTCCCAAGCTGGATGGTCACATACTATCTTCAGAATTTTGGCCATGTTAGTGTACCATCTGATCTAATATGTACTTGATATTTTTGTTAAAAGTGACTCACTTTTAAAAGCTATAACATCTGTTCCACTCTCATTCTAAGCAATATCTGTGGAATCATAAGTTTAATACATTATTATAGTTTTAACACACATTAAAATAACAAAGTATGCTCATCCATAGTCCATTCAGATGCCCTGTTCACCACCAGGGTATGTGAATATACTATGGAAGCTGTGGCTCAGCTTACCCCCTCAGCAAACCTTCAATTTGTAAATTAGGCAGAGGCACAGAGAGATTAAGTAGCTTTCCCAAGCCTCCAGAGGCAGTCACTCACGCCTTTTGTCTGCTGAGCTGAACTGTAGATTTGCCCTGCATGGCCTCTACCCTCATGTAACCCCTTTGGAATGTAAGTGGCCCTTGTGACTCTCTCTATCATATGCCTCACTGCAGGCCAAAAAAATGCCTTTGTTCTTACTGTTTTGAGTGGTGATAGGTTAGCTCCCCTGCCTCACCTGTCTCCCGCCATTCCCAGCCCAGCCCAAGCCCCAGTACTCCCTAAGACCATCATACACACCCCCTCCACACAGTCACATACAATTCTTCCCAGGCAGCCAACTTCCTCAACATAGGATGGTCAGCCATGTCAACCTGCACCTTCCTGTACTAGAGGGGGCATGGTGTGTCAGCAAGGATACAGGGAAGGGGAAAGAGGTAGGGGGCAGTTTGAGCAGACTGCTCCATTCCTGATGGCCTTGGGCATGTCACTTTGGTCATCTGTTCCAAAGCCAAAAAGTTGAGGTAGGAACTTATTATTGTGCCTCACTGGGTGGACACACCTAAACAAACTCCGTATTGGCTGTATGAAAGGAGGCAAAGTATCAGACAAGGAAGGAGTGGCCTGCTCTTTTCTGCTATCAAACCACACTGAAGTCCTGTCCTCTGCCATGCCCTGGTCTGCAAAGGAACACTGGCAAATAAACCACACAGAAGAGGCACCAGGGGAAGGAATCCTGAAGGTCAGGTCCAGAGTGCAGAACCATGTGGGAAGGGCTGGCTTGAGGCTTCCTGTTCAGAGGGGTCATGGGTGGAGGGGACGGGAATGAAAGAGGTGAGGCCAGTGGGACATCACACCAAAAGATACTGTTGGGATCCTTCCCCTGCCATTGGCACAGAGAGGCTTGTAGCCCCAAGTCAGAAGTTCTCAAAGGTATCCTGGAAGCAGAGGTGGTGGTTGCATGTGAACAAGAGCCAAGGGTAGTGGTTAGCCTGGACTCCTGCCTACCTCCCTAAGTCCTCCCTTGAGCCCTAAAAGTGGCCCTGGGGTACACATCAAACCCTTGCCTCTCCCGCTCTCTCCCTACCCTTTAAAGAGTATGGTATTGAGCATCTACTGGGTGCTTTTTACCATGATGTCTCCTCTCCTTCTGATCACCCTCCAAGGGAAAGATCATCCTTCTCCTGTTGAAGAGGCTCTGAGAAACTCACAAGTTGCACTGAGAAATTGAGCATGGGAGCAGGATTTAGAGATACTCTGCATGACCACATGAAAGTCAAGTCTCCTTCACTTGACTGATGCTCTGCTAAACCCCATTTCCTTTCTGCCATGCAGGAAGTAGGCTGGCCTGGAGCTCAGCCAGTGCCCTGGTGCTTTTTGTGTGGCTGTCTTCTGCCTTCTGGGCAGCTCTTCCCCTACTGGGCTGGGGACGCTATGACTATGAGCCACTGGGAACGTGCTGCACCCTGGACTACTCTAGAGGGGACAGGTAAGACCTCAGACAACGGTGCCCCAGCTAAAAATCTAAACATGGAAGTGGCAACATTAGCCACCCAACCTCAACTGCTTAGTCACAATACCCACTGATAGCTGTATGAAAAAAGCCAAGACTGAAGACTGATCAAGGGATGGGGAAATTATGCAAATCAAGGCCCAGAGTTGGGCCCACAAATGAGCATTTGACAGAAAGCTAGCCTGTGCCATCAGTTACAACAGTCACAGAGCTCCATGTCCTCCTTGTTGTCTTAGCAGACAGCAGTAATGACTATGATGTCATTGGATCTGGAGGAGCCTTGGTACTGGTTTGATAGATTTGAATAATGTTAAGGTCTTTGCATTGGAGGAACTGCTCCAGCATGGAGTTCAGTTCCTCCAAGTAATGTGGACCAAGCCTTGGGGAGATAGCCTTGAGTGTAAGACAGTCCTTGCCACAATGAGCATACAGTCTAGTGGAGACCAGGATTAAGGGAACCTCTTTGCTGCCATGGGATGGGGTCACATGGGCCCCACCCTCCTTCTTGCTTGCACTAAAGCCACATACATTCATATGCCATATATGTGATACTTACTCATGTAGTACCTGTTCCTAATGGTAGGTTTCTATAGTGGACCCCTTTTGAGACCCTTAGCCTGGCCTACATGTCCCTCCAGGGCTGTCACAATGGTGTTCGACAGGGTGTGCAGTCCTCCTTGTAACAGTTCCTTCTGCCATGCTCTGGTCTGCAAAGGAACACTGGCAAATAAACCACATAGAAGAGGCACCAGGGGAAGGAATCCTGAAGGTCAGGTCTAGAGGGGCCTTAGTGTACAGCTCCATAAAGCAGGGCGTCCCTTCATGAAATGGGACTCTGTGTCCTGGGGCCTTCCACCTGCTGCTTCTGATTTGTCCTCTGAGGCAGACCTCTACCTACATCCAGTGACCACTATCTGGTCCCCTGGTCTCCTTGGTGGTCCCATCAACTATTTCTTTCTTTCTTTTTTTTAATTGTGATTTGGGTGAAGATTTACAGAGAAAATTCACTTTCCATACAGCAGTTCACATATACTTTGTCTCATGTCATTGACCAGTTTACCACAATGCAACAGCTTTCCTCCCACTTCCTCCCCATAGTTACCTCTTCCCAGTGTCCATCCCTCCATACACTCCTGCCCCCTGAGCTGTCTCCCTGTGCATAAGCAGCCCTTCTTTCCCCCATGATTGTTCTCCAAGAAGTGTATCTACTTGAGGTAAATGTTTAACTCATATGCCTGTATTTTGTTTGGCTGAAAACCACAGGTGTGGGTTCAATTCCAGACCTGAAGGGCAGCTAGGGGCCATAGTCTCAGTGGTTCCACCAGGCTCTATGGGACCAGCAAACCTGGTCCCAACCTTTTTTTTTTTTTTTCTCCAATGATTTTGAGTTTTGTTCCACATTGTTCTCCCCCTTTATCAAGGATCTCCTACATAGATCCCCTTTCACCTTCAACTATTTCTTTAGTGACACAGTATTCATCTCCTTGTCATCCTCAGGCCCATTTCAAATCCCTATATTTAGAACACTCCTTGAATGCTCTATCCTCCTAGTCCACTAGCATCTCTTCATTGGGTGAACATGTTTCTTAGACTTCAATGTCACATTCTCCATGCTGGGGGAACATCCAGGAGAGCTTGCAGTTTGCAGAGAGTAGGGTTGGGTACTTGAACTTGAAGGAGGACTCATTCCCACCCCAGCTTCCTGACTCCCAAGGTTATTGGAGGGCCTGATCCCCACGTAGCTCCCATCTCCCTTCAGGGTTCAGCCCAGGCCTGGTAGACGTTCCACTGAGCACTCATCTGAGAGCAGCACTTCCCCAAATCTGACTATCTCAGCAGCCAGCCTAGAGGAAAGATGGGTGGCCCTATGAGAGCAGATGATCACCCTGAGAGACAACCCTCACTGCCTCCCCCTCTGCCTGCAGAAACTTCACCAGCTATCTCTTCACCATGGCCTTTTTCAACTTTATCCTGCCCCTCTTCATCACACTCACTTCCTACTGGCTCATGGAGCAAAAACTCAAGAGGAGTGGCACTCTCCAGGTAAGGCTCCAACTCACAGAGCTGGAAAGACCTCTCTGTCTGACTCAGGAACACTGGCTGGGAGGAGGGAGATGGTAGGGTATCTGGGCAATGTGATAGGAGCTATCACAGATTTCTGTGTTTTCCATAATGCAAAGAAAATCCTGTTTTCTTAGCACATGGGATGTTAAAGCTTCCTTACACCTTGGAGGAATTTAGTCCCAGCCCATGAGTAGGTGGGACTGCCACTTCCAGGAGAGAAGAAGCAGAGCAGTTCAGGTTCACCAGACCCCATCATCCTGTGAGCCAGGCCCCTGTAGGACCCCAGCAATGTCCTTACATGTCATTCTTTCCAAGAACTGAGGCTTGGAACCAAATTATATGTTTTTCAAATGCTACTTTTAAATTGTTTGTTGTTGTTGTTGTTATGTGCCGTCGAGTCAGCCCTGACTCATAGCGACCCCTCCTTGGGTTTCCGAGGCAGTATCACTACGG